CCCCCCCCCACACACACACACACACACACACGCTTTCTGGTACATATGTTAATAATTGAGCCTGTACCTCTGAAGAAGTTAAAGTAGAAGACAAACCTTAAATCTTATTCATCATAATTTGACATTTCTGAGGTTACTGATGGGTAGAAATTAGAGACTACCAAATGTTGACAGATACAAATTGTTCACAGAACTTTTCATACAAACACACACAAAAAAGTGATTTTTTTAAAAAAAAAAAAGTTAATTCTTTTTTTTTCTAATAATCTTTCATTTGAACTTACTTGCAATCATGTTTGCAATGTCAAATTGTCTTTTACAGCCATATGTATTTCTGCTCCCTTTAAAAAACACCTGCTTCATTTGCTCATGTATCTCCAGTGTCTGCTGCCACTTTATCCTACTGCTAACTTCAGAGACACAACTTCAGAAATAAAAGTATGTGCATATTAACAGTGATGGAAAAGAATTTCAACCTAGTGTTATCCGGGTTAAAACAAGTTGTAGCCTTTACCTATCTATACACAGGATTACTATGTTCTGTTTAGCAAGGACAAATAAACACCTTTATTTAACTATTCACAGGGTTGTTGTGTCCTGTTCAGTAAAGACAAGTGAACAATGGAAAGTAAAAAATAACGTGTTCCTGCTCCTGTGTTATACTGATTTCATGGCAGGAACAGGTTTTTCGTCTGTTATGCTGGTTTTTTTCAGGAATACAAATAAACTCATCTGAAGTGGCTTCCTTTATGCTAGGGTGCACCTTTGTTTATGCAGCAGTAAAACTAGAAACTGAAAGGTATTTGGAAGAATTGTGTTTTTATTAACTTGCTAACTTTTATGAAGCCCATTAACAATTTCAGACAAAAAATATCAGGAGAAAGATGAAGACACACGGCTTTGCAAGTTAAGAAATCCTCAAGAGTTTCTGGAATACGAGAACAAGACGTCCTTTAGGAAATTGGGATTGTGTTGGTTGTTTGGCAACACTGTGAGAGTGATAAAGGGAAGCACCCTGATAGACTCTCTCAAGTGCTAAGGTCTGCCCGAGCTCGGCTAAAGCTCAGTGCACCTGCTTTGCATCTCCACCTCAATTAGTGCAATAGCTTTTAAGGAATCGATTTTAAAACGCCGGGTTTGACTAGAGTTAGATTTATATCCACACGCAGACAGGGTCAAAGGACTGATGCTACGGTTTGAACCAGCGGCCGAGAGCTCCCAGCGGCAAAGCCTAGGGAGCGCCGCACCCCGCCGTGTTCTGCACCTCCCCGGGCGGGGCCGGGCCGGACCGGAGCCGGGCACCTTCCACCGTCCCGCTCCGAGCCCCGTGCCGGGCGGCTTGGCAGCACCCGGCGAGGCTGCGAGGTGAAGGACAGGAAGACAAAAAGAGAGAAGGGAAATCCGAGAGGAGGCGGGGGAGAACCCACTTAAGCGGACAGGCACGCAGTATTGACTAATCTGCTTTGGCTCGTCCCCCGCTCAGCTGACCAAAAAAAGCCCTTTCTTTCGTCACGATGGTAGTCCTCCTGGGTTTCCCTAATGACTCATGCCGGAGAAGGGTTCCCCGAAAACGGACGGGAACTTTCTCTGGAACTGAGCTGAGGCTGGGCTTAAAGCGTCCGCAGCCTTTTCCACAGCAGGACGAGAGGCACGGCTAGGTGCGGCTCAGCTAGGCTCGGCTCAGCAGCGCGAGCCCCGTGCAACCTGACCCGTCACGTCCCGAGGGCCGTTTCTGCAAGCGGGTCCCAGGGCACTTTCCGTGAACCACTTTCGCGGGACCAGGGAATACCCGGTGGGGAGGGCGGCAGAGGCGTCAATGCCGGCCGCCTTCCGAGAAAGGGCTCTGGAGGCTCCTTGGGGCGAGGGAGACAGGGGGTCATGCCGCCTCTCGCCAGCTTCCACCGAATTCCGCTCGCCAGTGCCAGGGGAAGCCTGGCTTCCGACGTCTTGAGCATCCCGGTCCCCAGTGTCCGGGACAGCCGGCTGCCCTCTCAGCTAGACTGTCCCCATGGCAGAGCAAGTGCCCCTCGTCTGCACTCCCTGTAGCCTGTGGAAGTGAAGGTGTTCTCCGGGGACGTTTGTAAGGTTTTACGTTCATTTTTGAGATAAAGTTGTAGGCGGCACAGGGCAATTACCAGTACTCTCTACCCGATCCCGCGCTAGCGCCTTAAAACGATGCGCTGGAGATGCCCCTGCGATCTCGGTATGGAGCGTGTAAGCGTCCGTCTCTGGGCAGTCCATCTGTAGCTGCCCTGAAGCTTTTTGTCTCGGCTTTGAAAGAAAATTGCGTGGTACTGCAATAACCCACGGTGGAGGTGGACCCCACGCACTTATGGGGAGGGCTATTCACACTTGTTTCATGTAAGATTGGCTGTGTGGAATTTTTTGTTTTCTTTTGTCTTGGGTGTGGATGCTGCGTTTGATTATTATTCATTATTCCGGTTTACTTTTCGAATCAGTGACATAATTTCAAGTCTGAATAATAATTATTTACAGTTCTGGAAAGAGGTTCATGAGACGTCCAAATGAGCCCCGGTTATGGAATTGGAAACCTTCATTTCCGTAGGCGTACAGGTACATATATGAAGCCAGCAACGATCTGAAGCCCAGCAGAAGAAAAACAACGTGTAACGAGACCATGGATAATCACAAGGGTAACCGATCATTTTTTCCAGTGCTCACGAAGCACCGGCATCCCTCTCTTCAGATCTGTCTATCCGTACCTTGTCGGGTCACGTAGCGATGCAGGAGAATTAACCTTTGGCTTTTTCTTACACAGTCTTTTGTGGCTTGATCATCTTTCTTCAGATCGCCAATTTACCGCGGGGATCCACCTACAATTTCAGCCTCTGTAACCACGACGAGATACAAGAGGATCTCCTAAACGTTTTGGATCCAAACATGACCGTTAAACAAGAGGTTGGTGGTTTCTCTGGTGACACCGGAGGGAAACTGTCGGGACGGCACTGCCTCCACGATTTTACCCTTGACTGCCGGCAGCTACTTTCTGAAAATCTCCATTAGCAAGCCGGGAGTTGGCTAGTTTAGGAACAAGTGCCTGTGAAACAGGACGGGGAAGTTATGTCCTACTCTCCTCCAGCGACCTTCCTAAAATGTGCTTCGCTGAAGCTGGGACTGGCAGGGACGGAGAGCAGGAGCCCGGGCGGCTGCTGCCAGAGCGCTACCCGACTCTTCCCGGCGCCTTGCAGACCCGTAGGACTGAAAGTCGCTTTGTGTAATGCTTCACCGACGCTGAAGATGGTATCACGGTTGCAAAGGTGATAAGTGGTTCAGAAGCTACGCGGATGGTTCACACGCGCAGCCGACGCTTAGCGGAAAGATCAGCCGGCGGCTTTCGGGGCGGCGCAGCTTGCGAGCAGCCTTGCCGCTCTCTCGGGCGGAGCAGCCCCGCCGGTGCTTGGCGAGGCAGCGGAGAGCTGGACGAACCGGCCTCTGGCGGCGCATCCCGGCGGGCGGTGGGACCATGGGGCGTGCTGGCCACTCGCGCGAAGAACCTCTGTACTTGTG